GAATCAGTGACAGTGCATTTAGCCATTCACTAAACATTGATTAGAAGGCAATGAGTGTATACACCAATCCCAGGATATTTGTGTTCTGGGACAGACTTGTCCAGAGATAAATGCAACATCTGCTCCTAGCCATTGAGGTTCTGGCAGTGCTAGAAAAGAACTTATATTATGACATGTAGTTCCATATCTCTTAATGTAATGTAATTGTGTAATATATTTAAGGTTGGTGAGAGAAGACTTCATAGTGTCAATAGTCTTTTTTTTTCTTGTATCAAAATTTATAACGTCATTATCCATCAGTCATCCACTGAAAATTTTTTGTGACAGTATCCTATCTAGCTTTTGCATTGGGCAGTGTACCTCAAATCACTGAAGAAAACTTACAGGAAAGTCCAGTTTGTTTTGTTGCAGCCTGACCTATTGTTCATAAATAATGCTGGCTCTCTGTATAAATGATTGTATATTGAGGGGATAAAACCTTTTTAATAATATGACAACTTGTTTCACATTTTCATCTCTGTGTTCAAGTACTTGGCAAATTAGTGGTTGAGTCACAGGAGCAACTTCAAATAATATAGTAGGAAAATGTAACTTCAAAATTATACTGATCAACCTGCTCTATAAAGATCTTTTCACATCTTTTAATTACATTAAAATTAGTTATAATGGGTCAGTACAAAATGAGGTACTTGGTGGATTCACTTTATAGCATGCCTAAAATAAGGCAGGTTTATCTACAGTTGTTCTTACTTTGTTGTTACGTTTAACAGGTAGATCATGAAGCCAGTACAAAACATTTTCTGGTTTTCTAGCTGTTATAGTAGCATGCTGGCATGCTGAGAGGAGAACAGTGCACTGAAACAGACTTGGTTCAGGGTAATTTTCTCTTAGATCAAGGGGGAGACTTGAAGGCAGGTTTGCATTAAGGATAAAGCAATAGGGCTTGTCACTTGTTTGGGGCCCATAGCAAAGCTGCAGTCAGCCCGTAATATGATGAAACAACATTTTTAATCTATGTGTTTATCAGAACTAGCATGATTCAAAATATGTATTTGTGCTAGTTTACAACTGCTTTATAAATATACTAACTCAGTATCGAAACAGGGCAGAATACCATTCATATAATAGAACAATTTGGGATAGTTTGCTTATTTAGATTTCTTTTTCTAAGAGGAGATGTGACACAAGATTAAAAGCAATGGCTCATTCTATAACAATTTACATTTCATATGAGCTATGCTAGCAGTGTATTTTGTAGTATTTGCTACAAATTTAAACACAAATTACAATAACACTCTTGTTTGTTTTAATGCATTTAGGCTGATCCCCAGGTGGTTTTTCATATTTCTGTCACCATTGAAAAAATTAAGAAGACACTTCCCAGAAAAAAAAGACCATCGGGATCTAACAGTACCATCAACACTATGGCCTCTGGCTAATGTGTGGCTGATCACAAAGGTACTGTACTGATAGGATGTGATACCAACTTTAGTGGTGTTGTGAAAAACAATTCATTGCTTTAAAGAAGAAGTATAAAAAATACCAGCCAGGCTTTGCTGTCTGCAAATAGTATTTTGAACTATTTCATACATCTATATGTTGTGGGATGATAACATATTATGATGGAAGCTTTTTTATCAGTAACTTCATCAAAATCATTATTAATGTACATTCAAAAAAATGAAAAATCTGAATTCTTTGTCCCCAAACTTAATGGAGTTCTGCTATTTTGGGGTACAGAAAATTGGAACCCTGCACAAATGGTCTATGTCCCCAGTGTGATGTGGAGCTCAACTGTGCACCCTATAACAGGCTTAAGCATCCCCTGGATTGGATTGTCCTTTCATCTTCAACTGTGTAACTCATTCTATCAAAAGTTATATATAATTTCTGCGCAGAAGTTGAATCTCATCCTAATTAGAGAGCCATTGCTGGATCAGGGCCTGACTGTTTCATAGACTGTCTATCTCCAGCCCACTAAAACAGTTGTGCTTCACAGTTAATATACAACCAGAGGTTAGAATAAGAATTCCAGTGCCATGGAGAAAGCAGACAGACACACTGGTAGAAAACCAGCTATAAAATCAGGTTCAAAAGGAAAGCAGACAGAATGCAAGCCTTATGGTATTAAGAGCAAAATAAAGGAAGATAAAACACTTGGCTGAGTTTAATAATACCAAAAAGTAATTAACTTATTTGAGAACAAAACCAAACAATAGCTTGTTTGGTGCAGGTCAAGGAATTGGCTGAAGGAATTTAGAGCCATTAGCTATCTTCCTTAGAACTTGTGGAGGTCGAGTGAAGTCCCAGATGATTGGAAAAGGGCAAGTATAGTGCTCATCTTTAAGAAAGGAAAGAAGGATGATCCAGGGAATTACAGACCAGTTAGCCTTGATACCTGGAAAGATCATGAAGCAGATCCTCAAGGAACCTATTGTGAAGCACCTAGAGGAAAAAAAAGGTGATCAAGATCAGCCAGTATGAATTCACCAAGAGCAAGTTATACCTCACCAATCTCATACGGTGACAGGTTCTGTGGATGAAAGGAAAGCAGTAGATGTGATATACTTTGACTTTAGTGAGGCTTTTGACAGTGTCTCCCACAACATTCACAATTGCATGCACAAATACAGGCTGGGTAATGATTAGCTAGGCTGCGGTATTGCAGAGAAGGACCTCAGTAGACCATAAGTTGATTATGAAAAAATGGTGTGCTCTTGTTGCAAGAAGGAAACAGTATACAGGGTTGTATTAACAGGAGTGTCACTTGTAAATCAAGAGAAGTGATTCTTCCTCTCTATTCAGCACTCAGTCCAGTGTCCAGTTTCCTGCCCTATACTTCAAGAAGGATGTGGACTGATTGGAGGGAGTCCAATGCAGAGTGACCAAATTATTAGAGGCCTGGGAAACAAAACTTTTGAGAAAAAGTTGAAAGAACTAGGATGCTTTAGCCTGAAGAAGAGAACACTGAGGGGTGGTTGGTTTGATAAGTCTTCAAATATCTGAATGGTTAGTATAAAGAGAATGGAGATGGGCTTCTCTCTGTGGCTGTAGGGCACAGGGCTAATAATAATGGTCTCAAACTGCAGCAGTGGAAATTTAGATTGGAGATTGGACTTTCTGACTATGAGGGTGGTCAAGCATTGGAACAGATTATCTAGAGAAATTGTGGAATCTCCATCCTTGGAAATTTTCGGGAGCAGGTTGGACAGCCTGCTTGGCTGAGATTATGTAGTCAAAGATAATCTTGCCTTGAGCATGGGGCTGTATTAGATGATTTTGTGAGATCCCTTCCAGTCCTACTTTCCTGTGATCTTATTGTTCATATAAAAATACTAAAAACTGGGTGCATCTACACAAGACAGTAACTGCACAGTAGTCTAATAACACTGTGCAGTAGCATGTAGGGCAAAAACTGTGCTAATACACTACTGTGCAGTAGTATTAGGCTACTGCGCAGTAAGCATCTCTAAAAACCCATGTCCTGGTGCTACTGTGCAGTAGCATGGGTTAGTCCACATTGATTTAGCATGTGGTTAACTAAGTACTGAACTTAATTTGAAGTAACTACAGCGCATTAATGAATGTGTAGATGTGTCCACTGTGTAGCTAACAGTCAAACATATAGGCTCTATTTTTCTCTCACTGCCTGGCAGATTTATTTATGTAATTCCTATTAACTCTTAGAGCAATTATGTACATTTATTCTCTTCAATGAGAAGCGAGTACATCATCTATTTTAGCAGGGTGTTGTAGAGTTGCTGTTACGGCTTCCATAAACAGACTTTGAATTTTTCTCTTTGAATGTCACAAACTATTTTATAATGTTGCCCTTGTTGTAGATAAGTCATTGCCCTTTGGGAATTAAAGGTTGATTCTCTATTCCACTGTGGCTTCTGTACTTTGCTTCAGAACTATAAATGTGACAGAAAAAGGTATGTGGAATAACTTCCACAACTGGATTTCCTCACATATCAGAGTTTTCATTACGTTCTGACATCCACCAGCAGAGGGAGCATGCCAGGAGTGCATTGTGCTTTGGCTATTCTGCTATAAGCCTACACGGGCTTATTGCAGTGAAAAAGAAGCCAGTGGCTAGCCCTGACATAGATAGAGCTCTGCCCAAGGACAGGATTTAAATCATAGAAATTTAACCTCAATGTTTGTTACTATTTTGTTTTTGTTGAAAAGTAGAGCAGTAATCTGATGCCTTATATTTCAAAGCCATTTCTGGAAAAGATGTCATAGTTTTTATTGCCAAGTTGTATTTTAATCAAGAAACTATTTCCTGTCTTTGAGGAGAGTTAAAATATGCATTAAAGTGTGTGTATATTGCTATGTAAAGAGTCATGGAGCTGAAACTGATGCAGCAGTTGCAGATATGCTTTAATAATAATTCTGCCATTAAAAAGTAGAGATTAAAATAAATATATGTTGTATAATACTAAAACAGATTCACAGTATGCTTGATTTCTACTGTATACATCATATCAAGGGTTGCTCAGGCCACATTCACATGCCAGAGGACTTAGTGATGCTCTGAATACTAATTGCTTCCATCAAATCATCATTGCTTTGGAGCTTCACATTCTGTTGAATGTATCTAGGCACTGAATGCCAAACCAGACCTCTCCAGTTCCAGTCAAAGAATCAGTGGCATCCACTGAACACTTGCGTCGCAGAAACATATTTGCGAATACTTTAGCAAAGTGTACATTTCTTGTACTGTGCTCATTTTCCTAAAGGACATGGCTGTTAGAAAACGGACAATGAGGAAGGGACACTTCCCATTTAACAGTTTGAAATAGTGCCACATACCAGGGTTCTTTACATTTCTGTTTCTGAGAGGGGATACAGCACTAGATTAAAAGCAACATCTCATTCTAAAACAGTTTAGTTTTCATACAAGTAAATAGGATCAATAGTATTTAACCAATAATCCTGGCTTGTCACAGGAGACTCTTTTTTGTTTTTGTAAAATTTTTCTTGTCATCTTACAGGAAGGCCTATATGAGCACATCCCTTTTCTTATCTGAAAACAAGGGTGATTGGTGTTCAGTAAAACATTCAAATAATAAATCTACCAAGTCAGAATATGGGTAGACTGTGGAAGTGACACTAGCTGAATTTCTGTTCTTTATTTTTTTTCTTTAGTTTTCTTTATCTTTCAAAAATAAATTCTGCAATGTTTTTTGTTTCTTTTTCTTTCCTTGGTCCAGAGGATGAGATCAAATGTGCATAATTCCTCAGCCAATTATTAAACTGATCTACTTCAGCACATTTTGTCTCCTGGGCTGTTTGCTTTTGCATATAGGAGTACTAATTCTTATGTGATTTAAATGTCTTTTTTGCATTCCT